ACTGTATTTATAAGCAAGCTCTCCCAGCATCCTGAATGGGAAAAAAAGTTTATTTTGAATAATTGATGATGAAAACTTTGCAACAATTATGCTCCACAATCTTCCAAGGAACTCAGCGCAATGCAATGCTTGGTTCTTCAGAGATCTAAGGTGCATAATCTCTCTCTCTCTCCCCTCCTTACCACACTTGTAGTTTTTGTATTTTTGCAGATAATAAGCTGTATATTAGAATCCTTTTCCAGAAATAGTTTTTTAACAGAGCTGTACATGCCTCAGAAAGTGATTTGAATCTCCCGCAAGCATAAGGCCTTTCATTAAAGTGGTCTGGGTTTTTTTTCCCAGACTTTCATATGAGCCCTAAAACAATCAATCAAACAAAAAATGTAGCTGCTTTAAGAAATCCACTTATTAATGCAATTCTTAAAGAAAGCAACAGCCTTTTACAGGCTCCCATAAAAGCATGAAAAAGCCAGGCTAGCAGATCTGTGCTGTGCTTCTGTGAGGGCTGAAGCAGTTCTTCCTAATTATTTTCAAACTATACCCAACTCTATATTATACAGTAATAATTTTCCATGAATAATTTCAGTACAGTAACTTAGCAATAACAAAGCTCTGTACTGCTGTCATATAGAATAACTATAATTATTACTTGTGAATAAAATAATTGCTATACATTGTGCTGTACATTGGGTGGCACGATGACTTAGCAGTAAGACGCTGGGCATGTCGGCTGCAAAGTCAACAGGCCAAGTTCAAGACCCAGGTGCCGTGTGACAGGATGAGCAGTAATAGTTCTACAGAGGATTATTAGCAATCAGAGCCACAACATAAGATGTGCAGGAAGTGGAGGTTTTTCTACTCTCTTTATAGATCCATTCTACTGCCTTTGTAATTTGGTGGGCACATGGGGAGTTAACCATAGATGAAAATCTCAACCAGATTTTCATGACTCAGGGAGCCATGCCTGAAATAAACCTTTAACCAAACTGTGGGTACCCTTTTCAATTTAAGTTAGCTGTTGATCCAAGTTCACACTGTGTATTATTCATAACCATACCATGATTTCACACTCTGTAAGAAGTAACTTGCCATTACCTATGAAAGAAGATCCATTAATTATGAAGACTTTCTGACTGTTAAATCATTACTACTCCTGGAAGGGGAGGAACCCTGGAGAACTGCTCTGCCCACTGGTGTACTCAAAAATAACATTGATTGTTCTTCTATGTCAATGATGTAAGAGCACTTCAACTTGTTCTCATTTGGATTACTTCTAGTGCTAGCCCATTAGTTAACTTTAGATCAGAAAATTGCTGTTCAAATTTTATAAAGTTTATGCAGAAGGATTTGGATTATTTAAGCACGCAGAATGTCTTTATAGTGATTTTGGTTTCCCAATTTGATCTAAATGCATTAGCAGTAACTAGTACTCCCAAAATATTATCAATTATAAAATATGCTTTTCTTAATTTGAACAGTTTTTTAAGGGCAGATAAAAATGTTACTAATTAAAGGAGAATATTTGTAGCTCGGGGTTGACATGAACGGTCCTTGGTGCTCTCTAGACTTGCTTGTTTTCTTGTAGACGTGCTAGCACTGATGATGTTACCTAGTTTGGGTAATGTCTGCAAGAAGCAAGCTCAGAGCACCAAGGATCTCTCAGATAAAAATGTTTTAAGGTGGATCTTGGTCATTTGCAAGAATTTTGAAATAAAGAGTAGGAATACACTATATTGAAAAACTACTGTGTAAGAAAGTAATATTAGGCATATTTCTTATGGTCTTAATGTAATTCAGCAATTTTTTTTCATTTTTACTGACTTCTCAGAGACTATTAAAAAGATTGGTTGTCAATTTTATTATGCTGGAAATGTAGAACAGTGGTGGTGACACTTATATGTACAATATGATTTGTTTTATTTGTTCCATTTTTGTTTAATCTTCACATGGTTTTAATATGTTTTGGGGCAAAAGCAATAAGATTTAAAGAAGAGTATGTCATTTTGAGCTTTATATAAAAATGTGGAAGGTATATGTACGAGATGCAGCTGAATGAAAAGAATTTACAATTCCTATTTTCCAGTCGGTTCATGCTCTGTGTTTAACCTGGATCTAAGTTGACAAAATTGAACGTTATCACCATATACTATGTGGTCAAAGTTTAGCTAAAAATGAGCTATTTGTAATAAGCACAATCTTCTGCTTAGCACTGTCCTTTTTGTATGCTAAAGTACATTTCTAAGCAAAGCACCGAGCATCATTGGCCAATTATCATTATTTTCTAAGAAAATATATGTGGTCCCTTTGAGATCTATAGGTTTTGTGAAAAGTGAAATGGTATTAGGAGCTTGTACATTGTTTTGCTGTAAGCTCACTATCTTTTTAATTAAGAGATTTATACACACACACACACACACACACACACACAGAATAGAGAATTTGATAAGGTTCCAGGCATAACTTCATGGTTATCTATTTTAACTTCTGAAACAACAATATTTTAGACAGTCTAACAATCTATAGCATAATATTTTAACATTTTGATTTGGAAAAGCATACTTTTTATCATTTTAGTATTGAGTAATATGCACACAGTTTAATTCTCACCAATGGAGTGGAGGAATTATTTTTCTTTTCACTTTAACTCTGCACGAATTTAAACTATGCAAAGAGAAGTAGTATAATGTAGTTGAATTAATACTGATTTTCTCATCATAGCTGAAGGAAATTAAAACTGATGACAATATAATTATACCTTCTATAAAAGATCAGAACTTTTATACTAGAATGCATAAAGCATGATATCTTAGTTTATGCAATCCTTTTAACCACTATAAAATCATTGTAGGGAATATCTCAATGCAGCCTTTTGCAACCACAATGATTTTAAAGAAAAAGAAATATAATAATTTACATAATTATTTACATATAATAATTTACATAATTATTTACATATAATAATTTACATAATTATTTACATATAATAATTTACATAATTATATAATCATAAAACTAAGATTCTGACATGATAATGGGCTTATTTTAGGATGACATGGTACAGAATTTTATGTAATTACTTTTAGATAGCGAGTGGGATCCATCTTGACTAAGTGAATCTGGTTAAATATCATGTACCTTCGCTTTGTGGCGAAGGTTGTTGAGAGTGTGGTTGCGCAGCAGTTCCCTCGACACCTGGAGGAAACAGTCTATCTGGACCCGCTCCAGTCGGGCTTCAGGCCGGGATACAGCACGGAAACGGCATTGGTCACGTTGGTAAATGATCTCTGGAGGGCCCGGGACAGGGGTTGTTCCTCTGTCCTTGTTCTTTTGGA